TTAGAGATAATCAGCTGTTTAAGTTATCATCAGCTATCTTTGAAGGTCAGCTGTTAAGAAGATCAGCTGTTAAGAAGGTCAGCTGTTAGGAGTACGTGACGCCACAGTGACATATCCAACGAGGAGGGGAAACCAAAGCGTTTATTGTGTAGCCCGAACAGGAAGACTACGAGACGGGGAATATTAATCTGTTTGTCAGTCTGTCAGTCTAGCTGTCTCTGTCGTCTCTCTGTCTGCTTCTTTCTCTTCGTGTTTGTTCGATATGCATTAAGGCATTGATTTGACAATGGTCTTTTATCTAGACTTTCATCGACGTGATTGACTGATTGACTAAGAAACACACACACACACACACACACACACACACACACACAAGGTAAAATGGAATGTGGATCCTATAGGACTGACTTCCCATTAGAGACAACGTGGACACAACTAAGACTTCAGTACACAAGGAGGTAGCATGACCGGCACTCTACTAGACCACCTTCACTTCCCCAACAGTTAGGTACATTGGGATACCCTGAGATCGAACCAGCGACCCTTATGATAGTTGCCGATAGCTGTATCCCCTCTTCCCTCGTCCCTGATTACGCAAACGACAAAAAAAAAAAAAATCGGAAAACTATACAGCCACACAGGTGCCTCAAAATACACTCTCTCACACATACTGAAACACCATTGACAAGTACAAGGGTAGAAGGATGGCGTCACAGCTCCATAGTCACCGGGTGGGTGGTTCTGAACAAGTGACGTGTGAGCTTAACAACATGTCGCTGCTTCTGCCTACCTCGCCTTCCTCCCAAGAGTCGCTCGATATAACAGAGGAGCGCTACAGGTCACACCACTCACTGGGGGCCGCTACAGGTCACACCACTCACTGGGGGCCGCTACAGGTCACACCACTCACTGGGGGCCGCTACAGGTCACACCACTCACTGAGAGCCGCTACAGGTCACACCACTCACTGAGGGGCTACAGGTCACACCACTCACGGAGGGCCGCTACAGGTCACACCACTCACGGAGGGCCGCTACAGGTCACACCACTCACTGAGGGTCGCTACAGGTCACACCACTCACCGAGAGCCGCTACAGGTCACACCACTCACTGGGGGCCGTTACAGGTCACACCACTCACTGAGGGCCGCTACAGGTCACACCACTCACTGAGAGCCGCTGCAGGTCACCACACACCAAGGGTTACTACAGATCACCACACATCAAGGGTTACTACAGGTCACCACGCACACACCCACACGCACACACCAAGTGTAGATAGGTTTAGAAAAAAACATATACATACATACATACATACATACATACATACATACCATTGGTAGACTATACTAAATAATCACACCATTATTTACTACACTATTAATTAACTACTACAAAAACATTGACAATTTCATATTCCTGTGTAAAGTTACAAAGAAATTATGACAAATAGTAAAATAATTAGTATCATTTTTTACCATTCCTTAAACTAAACGCTCTGTGTACGTGGTCAGTTTAAGTCCATCCTCAAAACCCTTACAAATTATGATAAAAAATATCCTTAATAATAATCGTATCACAACTATTAACCCGAGCTGGAAGGGGAAGGGGAAGGGGAAGGGGAAGGGGAAGGGGAAGGGGAGGGGTATCCATGTGTTAAGTCTCACTCAATTCACCCCGGTTTTATGGTCTTCACGTTCACAGGCGAGTGTTATGTGACGGCGTGCGCTTCCTGCCATGATATCTTCGGAAAACCTTCAGGGCTATTATCACTTTAGTAGTTATATCAGCCCACGAGGAGACTGTCTCTAGATCATGAACACTGGCGGAGTAAACTTGATGAATTATGTAACTGTCAGTGGATGGATGGATGGATGGATGGATGGATGGATGGCTGGCTGGCTGGCTGACTGGCTGGCTGGCTGGCTGGATGGATGGATGGATGGATGGATGGATGGATGGATATTCAGTAAAACCACCAGAAAAGTTATCACTGAAGTGTTAACAAAATACTAAAATGATCAAGAAAGTCGCCACACTCCGGCCTAAACACACAGAGATTATCATTAACTTACACCATAAAGAACTGGTCAGAATATTTGGGATATTGTTAGACACACCTGGGGGAGTGGGTGCGGGGGAGGAGGATGCAGAGGGAGAGGAGGGATGGAGGGGGAACAGGGAGGGAGGGAGGGGTAGAGGAGGGAAGGGGTGTGGGTGGTGGGGGAAGGGGGTCTCGGTATAATGGCCACACCGAGGCAGCTGGTCTTCTGCTGAGCTTACCCTCAGGTGATAATCTGGGTTAAATTTACGTAACTAAAATCACTGTTTTGACGAGGGTTCTCTAATTAAGTCCTATGCTTTAGCGGAGTTCCCTGTTACGTGTACTTGTTCCGGTCAACTACTGAGGTCATTATGGCTTGGAATGAGTAATATGGAGTGAAGATGTGGCCTCAAAACACAACTTCAGGACCATATATCACCCGGCCTTGTACAGTACA